AATGAGGATGCTGGGTCTCCTGTTCTCAAACCTCAGGCATCACCCTGGAACATTCCGTCACGCCCAGAATCCCGCCTCCCAGCACCTGCCGCTCCAGCACCCACCACCCAAGGCCCACGGGTTCACATCCCTGGGGAAGGTTCAGTTCCACTCTGGTACCAGGCAGCCAATGGGGCAGAGACCAGGTTTCCTGAAGGTGAAGCCCTCAGCTCCTCAACCAGGGACAAAGCTTGAAGACTAGGGAGTCTTTGTTTCCGGCCACACCTAGGAACACCGTGACTGCTGAGCCCCCACCTGAATCCCCACACCCCAGTGCTAACCCTTCCAAGGCCACAGTCAACAGTGCTGCCCCATTACATGCTTTTCAGCTGCGGTGGAAGGGGAGGGGCTCCTCCATCATGGCGCTGTCTCTAGGTCCAGACTTCCACCCCACCCGTATCGGCAGGGAGGGGGAGTTGGCAGTTGATCTTTTCCCTTTTTCTGTTGAGGAAGATATTCGGCTACGAGATGCAAGCGCTGGACAGTGGAGAGGCCACAGTACAGGAGACTCAGCTGCCGGGCAAAGGGAGGGGGTTCGGAGGACCCCGCGCCCCTCCTTCTTTTGTTCAGCTCTGCACGCTCCCTGGCCACGCCATCCTCTGGCACATCCCCTGGGGAGGAGGGGGCTGCAAGCCCAGGGACCCAGGCTCCAGCCCCGCCCCGCCATGTACCCCCCACACACTGTCCCCAGAGGCTGGGGGAGGGGGCTGCAATGCGAGACCAGCCCCGCCCCGCCCCAACTGTGCGTGGCAGAAAGCCTCTGGCCCCCCTGTGGTCCCCTGGCGGATCAGGGCCCTGGCGGTGACCACCCCCACCCCACAAAGAACGGTGGGGCGGGGGGCAGCTTACCGTGATGTGCGGGATGCTCTTCTTGCCCTGGTAAGACATGGCCCCCTCTGGCGCCCTCGCCCGGCCCGTGGACCTGGGGGCTGTCTTTCGCACTGTGGGGCTCTCTCTTGGTCCCGCTCCCCGTGGGCCCGGTGACAAAAGCCCAGAAGAAAGGAAGGCAGGGGTGGAGGCTGGGTGGCCGAGGCTGCTGACGCGCCCGCTGCCCCGCTCTCGGCCCGCGCGCCGCCGCTCGGCTGCCAGCACCGCCCGGCTCCGCGAGGGGGGCGGGAGGAGGAGGGAAGACGAGGGCGGGAGGAGGGCGCTGCAGACAGACAGCTCCTCCCGGTGGCGCGGAGCCGAGCCCGATTCGCCCCTCTCGGCTGGAACCAGGAAGCTCTTCCCTTCCGATCCTCCCCACTCCGCCCCTCTCCCCCGCCCCCCCAACCACCCAGCCTGCCAGACCCCTGCCCAGTGCGCACACCTGGCCTCCCTCTCGCTATGGGGAAGGGCTGGTTTGCGGGGTTCTTTTTAAAGCCAGAGACGGCCTTCCGATGCGCAGGCAGAGCCGGTGGGCAGCCTCAGCGCGCATCAGGGCCTACCCTGAACAGCTGCTAGGGAAGGGAGAGCCGGCCAGGCCCCAGGACCCGCCCAAGCTTCTGGAGCTTCCAAGACCCTCCAGGACCCGCTGACAGATTGCCCTGCTCCTGCTCCTTACCCAGATTCCGTTTGTCCATGGGCCAGTCCCTGAACAGACCAAGCCTTTCCCAGCTCCAGGCCTTTCTTCAAGCCGTACCCTCCCCTGAACATCCCACCTCGCACAAAAGCTTACCCATTCTCCCAGACTCAGCCCCCTGGCTTCTCCACAAAGCTCTCCCCTGTCACCCTCCCCGCCCCATCACTGAGCCAGCCTCCCTGAGGTCTCAGTAGGAGCCTCCCTCCAGGCCGAGGGAGTGTGGCAGGGACCCAGGATGCAAGGCCCTAAGTAATAGCTGACCTGCTCTACCCCCTGCATCAGCTGATTCATCAATGCCAGGCTACCAGGACACCACCATAGTCTTGCCTACCAGTGACTGCTTCGAAGGCCAGACCATTGGCACTAAGGTCCCCACAGCCCCTAAAACAGACTGGGAGACAGGAGAAACAGGACACCCTGACTCCCAGTGGAGAGTGGTCACTAGCCTCAGCACCCATGACCCAGAATTGCTTCAAGGAGAGCTGGACAGGAGGTCAGGGCATAGCTTGATGAACTTAATGACAAGAGGGGGGGGGGGATAAGAGGGAGAAAAGAGGAAAGCCCCAGTGAGCCCCCACAACACTGGACAGGTGTCCCCAATCTCCAGGCAGAACAATAGGCTAACCTCTGCCGCTCACCCTCTGCCTGTACAATCCCAACCTGCGGTGCTGTGAGAAGACCTCTCTTTACTTTCACGTGCCCACGAGGGAGGGTGCTCTAGGCCCGATGAGGCACCCACCACGCAGGTTGGGGCCTGCAGCCCTTGGACAGGGGGCCAGAGATGCCTCGGCCTTAAACTGGAGGTGGGATTGTAGATTTGCAAAGGAGAAGCAGCTTTATATTCCAGGAACACTAGGCCATGATTTTACCATTTTTCAGGTGGGGAACTGAGGCTTAGAGGTAAAACATCTCAGGTGCAATGCACATTAGCCCCTGCAGAGCAGTACTTGGAAGCCAGGTTCCCGCACACCCCGTGGACAGCTCATTCACTTCCCTACACGCATTCATTCATGCATTCATTCATCCTCTGCTCAGAGCTGGGTCCTAAATACCTCGTTCAGAACAGGAAATTGGGAGTGAGGACACTCTCTCTCCCTGTGACGCCTACATCCCCTCTCTCTGCACAATTAAATCCTTGATCCGAGGCAACAGGGCATCCCCAGGGGTCAGTCTGGGCAGGGAAGCACCAAGGCTGGGGACAGGGCCACGTGTGTTTCGGGGGAGGGGCACCGGTCTGCGATTGGCCAAACGGACCTCTGCTCCCAAGCCCACTTCCCGGTTACAAAGCCCCACAGTAGCTCAGCCCTGGGCCTCGGAAAACGCTGCGCCTGCGCCGCCTGCGCCGCCGTAACTCCTCCTCCCGCCCTAGGGAAGAGCTTTATGGTGGGGGGGAGGGCCCGCACCCTCTGCAAAGCCCTGGAGCAACGAGGCCCGCCCCAGAACGAAGCCCCGTGGCCACTCGGTCTGCAAAAAGTAAAGCGCTCCCCCCAGAGAGACCACGAGGCCCTCCTGGACTCCACAGTCCGGAACCTCGAGCGCTTCCGGGGCCCTCTGCACGCCGGAGGAGGCGCTGCCTTTTGTCCTGTACGGGAGCAGCCCTGGAGACGGGAGAGCGGCCAGGGGTGGGGGAGGAGTGGGAGAGGCTGCGGGGCGGCCCAGGCAGACCCAGGAGGCGATGCTGCCCTCGGGAAAATTGACGGCAGCTCCACCAGGGATGCGCTTCCGGACAGCCGGCAGCCCCGCACAAAGCGCCCTGCCTGCCTGATACTCCACCGCGCTTTGAGGGGGACCCAAAGAAGAATGCCACCCATATTTCACATATGGAGAAGCTGAGGCCAAAAGAGGGCGAAGTGCCATGGCTGGAAACCAGGATTCCCCGGCACTGACCTCGGCTTCTCGGGCTGTGGCCCTAAAGCCTCCCTTTTGGGCTTGGAAACCTGGATCCCAAGCGAGGTCGGCCGTCAGAGAAGCGAGGTGAACAGGGGAAGAAAAATGGGAAGGAAAAAGGAGACGAGACACTCTAGATATCACCTTCCTTCGCCCCCACCCTGTTCACAGCCCCTCAATGTAGACCTTCCCTTTGTGGGGCGCTGGCTTCAGGACCATGGAGAGTTCCCGGGTTTGGGGGACAGAAAGTCCTTGGCAAGGGATGGGGGACAGAAGGAGACTCACTGCTGCTCTGTAGCAGCCAAATTCCTGCCTACCCCTACTAGTCCAGGAAGCCCCCCCCCGCCCCCGATTTCTGTCCGAATCAAGTTCTGCCTCCTCCTGGCTCACTTTGTCTCTCATAGTATTTAAGAGAAGGGTTAATAAAAATTATAACAATAATAATAATAATAAAACGCAACAACCAACATTCACTGAATGCTCACTACCTACTTAATTCTCACAATGAATCTGTCTCCCAGTGTGGCCTTGGGGTGGGGCTGGGGTGCTGAGCCAGGATCCCAGCACCTACCAGGAGTCTGGGACCTGAGTAGTGCTCAGACATGTACCTCTGAGGTGCATGAGGTCCTGACATCTAGCTTGACCCTCACCCGTATATCCCAAAGCTGTGCCCTCTATACATGCATGTTCCCCCCAGTTCCCTGGAGACCCCCAACTCAAGGGAGAAGAGCCATAAGGCCCAAGGCCTGGCATTCCTTCTCTGTGGTGCTCCCCGACTTAGGGGGAAGGGGACTCCAAGTCCGGGAAGCTAGAGTCTCCCCTAGGGTTCAAATCCCCACTCTGCCTCCAGCTGGCTCTGGAGCACACTTAAGTGAGCACTCCCGGGCGCGCTGTAGGACTCGGGCGGCCCCTGAAACTGCCGGGGCTTGGGGGTAAGCGGTTTCCGGTTCCACCTAAATCCTGAACCAAATCCTTTCCGCGAAAGCACAGGGGTGAGGCTTCTTCCAGTTTTACGCCGCGTGACCACAGACATCACTGAACCTGTCCCAGGGCCTGGCACACAGTAGGTGCTCTATAATTACTAATGAGTGAGAGCATAAATAAATGGACTAATGCGGAACGGAGCTGCCCTTTTCATAAACCAAAGAATTTGGATCCCTGGGTTAAATTCAACCAAAGGTTCCTTCGCGTTTTAAGGGCCCATGTGGCAGCTGAGCTAACTTACTTCCCCTCTCGGAACCTCGCTCTGTCTTTCTGCAGAAGAGGAGGGGGGCCTGGATCTCGAAAGACCTTTTGCAGTCTCACAGACCGTGCTGGCCATTCCGGACCCGGCGCACAACCCCTCGGAACCTCCCGTACGGTGGGGTGGGGGAGGGGCCTGCCGAAGCTCTCCCAAGCCTGGTGGCAGCGGGCCCCAGCGCTCAGGCCTCCAAACTGCCCTGGGGCGACCCCACTCCCCGCGGCCGCGAGGGCCCCGCCCCCTCCGTCCGGCCCACGCGAGCCCCGAGGGTACCTGGCCATTGTCCCGGCCGAGAGGCAGATCGCGGGGCGCAGGGCAGCGGATGCGCAGCGCCGGCGGCCGCTCCTCGCGCTCGCCCGGAGAGCTGACGGCCGAGCCCGAGGGCTCGCTCACGTCGCTGGCCGTGTCCTCGCTGCCGCCCGGTCCCGGCAGGCCGAGGGCGTCCAGCCGGCCCGCACTGCGCGGCGTGCGCGCCGAGCCGCGGCGGCCCACGCTGTACGCGTCGAAGTCGATGGTCTTGTTCTCGTAGGCGCCCTCCACCGCGGCGAACATGCCGCCGTACTTCTGGCGCGGGGTCTGCGCCGCGCTGCCCGGCCGAGCCAGGTACACGGGCAGGTCGTCCTCCGTGTTCCACGCACGCCGGCGGTCCGCCATGCCGGTCCGAGGCCGGCCGTCCGCCCACGCTCGCGCCCGCCCGCGGCCCTAGCCACCGCCGTGCGCCGCGCTCCGCGTCGGGTGCGGGCCCGCGGCGGCCCAGGCGCGACTGCGGCCCGGGGCGGGGCGGGGCGGGGCGGGGCGCGCGGCGGGGCGGGGCCGGGGCGGGGCCTAGGGCAGTTGGCGGCGAAGCTGCGGCCGGCTACAAAGCTACAAAGGACCGGGAGGCGGGGACCGCGGCGAGGGCGGGGAGGGGCAGTGACGTACCCCAGCCGCAGCGCTGAGGGCGGGCAGCCGAACCGCAGTACCCTCGCAGCACCCCGCTCCCCGCCCCCAGGCTGAGCGCAGGGCGCGAGAGCGAGGGGTGGGAACCCGCGTGCATGCACACGCACTCCGGAGTCACACACAGGTTAGTACGAGCACACCAGACAGCGCCAGACGAACACGTGAAAGATGCATAAACGTGCTGGCGCAACACGCTCCCCAGACACACACAGCTCGTTCACACACATCATGGACAATTTTGCACACACATGCATGTTTACACATATCCCGAGTCTCTCACACACACACACCAGAAATTCTCAGTCACCCAACCCCGCGCATACACAGCATCACACCGAGATTGATTGTACAATTGGAGAGACACACGCTGGACACAGCATGTACTCAACACTATTATATTCAATGACCCCTAGTTCCTAGCACGTTTTATGGTGCTGGGGACAGCGCCATGAACCAAATAAACCAAGTCCTGCCTTCCAGGAGCTGACAGTCTAAGGAGGGGGGAGAGACACACATAATGTACCAGGGAGAATGAACAGCAAGGCAAGAGAGACATGCTAGGACCACATTCCCTCAGACAAGAGAAATATACTCTTGCAGGAGAACCAGTGACTCACACATGTGTATGATGCTCACTCCTGCAACGCCCACACAACCAAGAGATTTTCACACCCTCATACCAGAGGCCAACTCACAAGGTGACACCACCCACATAAACCCCAGCAGGACACCCTCACACACATCCACAACAGAAATAGGGGAAATCGAGAGCTTAAACAGAAACGCTTCAGAAAAAGATTCACAAAGAGCTAGATCACCCCCACACACTCACACACAGTCCTGTCAGTCACCATTCTAGCACCTCTCAGAACCCCATACAGCCTACCTTTGCTGAGCCAGGATCTTGGAGCCTGAGGGTCCCGGGCTCCTCTGACTAAGGCCAAGGTGGAAGGTGGGGGCCTGGGGTCTCTCTGCTGGGGCTCCCCTCAACCCCTCTTCAAGCCCAGGAACTGTGTGTGTCCCCTAGACACCGTCCCTCATTTCTCCATGATTATCATCAGGCAGAGGGTCCTAAGGGTCTCTGGAGAACGGGTGGTCCCAGCTGCTCGCTCTGGACGGGTGGAATCACCAGCTGCTAACCCCTCTGCAGCAAGTCCAGACACACAGAGTCGGGGCTGGTGGGGACCAGGGCCAAAACCATGAGTACCTCCTGGCTCTGTACCCAACCCCCCCTCCCTCCACGCTGGGAGCTGTTCCTTCAGCACCAGTCCTCCCAGCCCCTGGGAGTCCCAGACAGACAGCAGTATGCACATTCTTCCTGTGACAAGGACCTATGGACGGAAGCCTCTGGGGATATTGGCTCCACGGCCTCAGCGGACGCCCCTCCCCCTGCATTTACTGTTATTTAACGGAGGAGCAGGCTGCTCTGTGCAGTCAGTAGGTACTGTCACCTCCCCACCAGGCAGGTGAGGAAACAGGAGAGAAGCAAAGCAGAAGAGGAGCTCGCTGCTGCTCCGCCAGGCCTGGAGCACATGGGCATGTAGCAGGTCCCTTCTCTGTCCTTGAGAGAGAATGCAGTGCTGGAGACACACGGATGAACATTTATTAAGTCCCTGCCTTCAAGAAGTACCTATTGCAGTAGGAGAGAGAGTGCTAAACATAGATTAGAACGGAGATCGCTACCAACACTCCACCTCTCTCCTCTCTCTCCCACTCACACCCCCCCCATCCTGGCCTCTTTCCTTTTGTCCCTGGGCACCCTGCACAGATTTGCCACAGATGGTCCTCCTGGGGTTTGCAGGACTCTCGGTTGCATTGCAAGTGTTTTCAATTTTTTTAATGAAAACTTCTGTCCTGAAAATACCGTTCCCAGTGTATTCCAGGCAAGGAAATTTTATGCTGAAGACCACACAGAAACTTCTAAAGTGCCACAGATCTTCGTCGTGACTAATCCAAGAATCTGAGTGTGACAGAACTTTTGAGGTCAATTCTCATTCTGTGTGCCTGAATCTGTTCCCAGCATCTTGAGGAGACTGTCTCTCAGGCTTTGCTTAAATACCACTGGTGACGGAGACCTCACTACTTTGCAAGAAGACCCTTTCCATTGTGAGAAAGGGCTAGGCAGCTGTCGAGACTAGGAGGGAGTGACACAAAGGAGGAGGAAAGAAAGAGTTGTCTTTGTGCAGGAGCAAGAAAGGATACTCGTTCCCACTTAGAGAGAGCTTACTGTGTGCTGAGGACATTGTAGTCACGTGACAAAGAGGAACTCCTAACCCTCACAGCAACCTTTGAGGTAGGTGTCATTTAACCTCATTTTACAGATGAGAAAACTGAGGCTCAGAGAGATAAGTAATTTGCCTAGGGTCACAGGTGGCAAATGATGCCACCAAGGGTTAAAACGGTGGTGTGGTTCCAGAGTCTGCACTGTAACCAGTCAGCTGTAGCCTCCCCCAAGAAGCCGGGCAGAGAGGTTCCACTGGGAGGAAGAGATGAAGGAACAGACTGGTGTAGTTGGAATAGTCTAGATTTTTGTGTTAGAATCCCGTTCTCCATGCAGCTTTGGGCACCTGATCATTCAACATGCATCCAGCACACATCCTGGGCACCCCCGGTCTCAGACTATTGCTCCCCATCATGCCTCTCCTCTGTCCCAGTGCCTGCCACAGGTAAGGGTCCTTGCACACACTGCTTATTTCTACACAGTACGCCTGCTCTCAGCAGCCGTGTGGCAGACAGTGCCCCCTCTGGCGGGGTGCAGCGGACAGGCCTGACACCCGCTGCTCAGTTAACCACCAGGAAGTGCCCGCTGGGCTTCCTCTCCCGGCTGAGTCCTTTCGCAAGGCCAGTAACCCAAGCGTAGCAAAGGAAGGCAGGCAGGGAACAGAGCCTGGGGGTACGTTGGGAAGTGTCCCTCCAGCTTGCAGGGAGACCGAGGGGAGCAGCCTTTGGCAGAAGCCAACAGAGGAAATAGCCCAAGAAACTGGAGCAAACCCCACTGGGTCCAAAGGGCTGTGACCGTCCCCGTCCTGTCCCCCAGCAGCCGCCCGGTCCTCCAGGGAGGGAGTGCTCATATGCGAATTAAACCAGGACATGTGGTGAAGGACAGGCCGGGAGCTCATCCTGTCAGACCACCAAGCTCCCCAGGGTGACGGCAGGGAACAGAGAGGGCTGCGGCCGATGGCAGCGGGCCTGAGAGGCCACTCAGCTCTCATGGGTGTTCTCCACCAGGGTCTTATTTTGGGGGGTGAACAACAGAAACATATTGTTTAGAAAACATTCGTTGTAAAAAGATTTTTCAAAAGGGAGGGAAAGGGCATTGTAGCTTGTTGTGGGGTGTATCATACTCTCAGCAAATCCCCGAGGCGGGTAATGGATCCCTGCTCACATTGGGTGTAGGACGACAGGTGCAGGGCAGCCCGGCAAGCTGCCTGTTTAACTCTGAAAGGTCTGGTTTTCCTGCAGCCTCCACGTCAGCTCCCGGGAGCTGTGGCAGGCAGAACGCCCTGCCCAAGGATGCCCACGTCCCCGTCCCCAGGGCCCGTGTGCAGGACACAGCCAGGGGTTTGCAGACGTGAGCAGGCGGAGGGCGTGAGAAGGGGAGGTGGTCTTGGATTACCAGGTCGGCCCGATGTGATCATGGTCCTTAACCGTGAACGAGAGAGGCAGGAGGGTCGGAGTCAAAGACCCTGTGACAACAGAAGCAGGTGTCAGAGTCGGAGAGAGATTTGGATGCTGTTGGCTTTGAAGACGGAGGAAGAGCCTAAGAAAGCAGGCAGCTTCCAGGAGCGAAGTCCCTCCTACAGTCTCCGGAAGGAATGCGCCCGCCAACACCTCAGTTTCAACCCAGGGAGACCCAGCTTGGACTTCTGACTCCAGAAGGTGATAGAGAATGTGTGGTTCTAAGCCCCTCGGTCCACGGCGGTTTGATACGGCAACAACAGTACACGAGCACAAGCATACGAGGGGTCATGGAGGGGACCACTCCGTCATTTGTGCAAAGTGGATTCGACTTCTGAGAAAATCACTGATGCCCCGTGAAATTCCAGAATCTTGGATTCGCTGGGGCCCACAGCACTTTGTAATGAACCGGGAATAAGTTAAACTTTCAAAGGAGAAAGAAACCTTGGTGAAAAAGCATACATTTTAATGTACAAAATTACATACACTACACCTGTAACTATCATAGAAAAATACATCTTGATCACAAGAGAAAATGTCAGCCTACTTTACACAAGGCTGAGCAATCATTACAAATCTTGACACCCCAGGCCTGGTAAGCCCAATTAACACTGGTCAGGAATCCAACGAGTGTCTCCAAGGACGGATTGTTCACCCATTATATGCAGCTGGGGTTGGGGCATCCAGCACCCAGCACCCAAGGAACGGTCCGGCAGAAGAACGTCCGAAAGGAAGAGAGTCCGCTCAAGTCGCCAGACCACCACCAGGTGAGCCGGTTCCTCTAGGGAAGGGGCAGAACTCGGACTGCGAACACCCCAAACCCTGTGTTTATTAACGGAGAGGCCAGTCAGGAGTCCTTTGGATGCACGCAGTTGCAAGGGGCCGAGTTACTGCACGATTTCCACGCCGATGACTGTGCTCACAGGGACACCTGCCCAGGATTCAGCCTACAAGAGCGAGGAGACCAGGGCAGTTCTGCCAAGTGAACCTGCAAGCCTCGTCCATCCCCTCTGCCAGTGACACCCAGTCCCTTCCCTGCCGCACCGGCGAGAGTTGGTTGGGCAGACCTGGACTTTAGGAGATCATCTCAGTGACCCAGCTCAGGTGGGTGGCTCCTGCCCTGCCGTCGCCCTGAAACGCATCCGGGCAT